GGAATGCAGGTACATCCACTGGCTGACGAGCCCCAAATAGGACGAAGTGCCCATCTTGATGGATTCCGTTGCTATCCACCATCAACCAAATGACTTCAGATTATCTCATAAAATTCATTAGGAAGACCATAAAGGAACTGTTGTCATGAAGGACAGTCATTCTGGGATCATTCTCTTTGATCTGCGCCTATATGTCACTTTTAATGGCATAGAATCACCGTTCTTTTTTATTAGTTATATATTTCTGTGAAGGTGTTTTTTTTGTTTCAGAGCTAGAAAATGTCTAACACCAGTGGCTAGATTATTCTTTATTATTATCATTATCATCTTTGATGCTGTATGACTAAATAGACTCTATCTAATTAGCATAACTTTTAATGTAATCATAATGAATGAAGACTGGTCTTAAGATATTTGTATCTACTTTATGCAGTAATATATAGTGAATGGTTTCTAGTCAATGTATAGGTGAATTATTCATCTCACACTGTTTGTATTTTATGTAAATTACACCGTTTGTATTACTGGCAATAAGACATATTTTTCAAGACCACGGATTGATATCGGTTAGAGAACCAGAGAAAACCACGAAGTACTGGACAAGCTATTTCGTCCTAGATTGGAAATAATCGACAGTACTTACCCACTGGGTTTCGAACCCAGGACCTCGAAAACAAATTGAATCCCTAAAATTCAACTCGTTAGTGATTGGCTACAAGACGGAGTTTTCTGGAGTTCTGGTGAGAAGTAGTGACCAACAGGCGCCATCTTATCAGGAGTGAGGACAAATATTCGCCGATGACATTGGTTGGTAGTCGCAGTAGAAATCAAGAATTGCTAGAAGTTAGAATTCACGGGTTGGCCACTGAGTCAGGTCCCAGTGGCTGAATGGTCTACGAGCCAGCTGGTCTTGTAACCAGAAGGTCCTGGGTTTGAGCCCTGTTTTGAAGAGTCCCAAACTAGGAAGAAACAGCTGTTCTTTGTAGTACTCCCTGCTGGTTTTGAATGGTTTTCTAACTGATATCAATCTGTGGTCAAACATGAATAAGGCGCAGACGATAACTGATAAGGTAAATTATTTTTTATAGGGACACAACTTATTTTAGAGGCCAAATACTTTAGTGATCCACAGTGGAGAATTCCGTAATGCCCTTGAAGTAAAGACAGTAGGAAGAAAAAGCAGCCTACTGATACCTACGATGATATTCCTGATTATGGTGGACCAGATCATTCAACACACCTCGGTGAGTAAGGGGCGGGAAGACATGAACATGTTAGGTCGATAAGAAGCCACTAGAAGATTTGGAATTTGTTGATAATTTATGTCTAACGTCATACACAGACTCTAAGATCTACAGGTGAAAAGTAACAAGTTGGCAGAAGAGACAGGCAGGATTTCGAGTGGACATAGAGAAGACAAAGGTGATGAAGATACCTGGCCAACAGTAACAGCAACAACAAGGATCAGTCACTATCAACCACAGAATTTTGAAGGGAGGCGTCTGTTTCACTTAATTAGGAAATACCGTTTCAACAACAGCCAAAGGCACGGGTGAAGATGTCAAAACGTTTCAGGGCTGGAAAGATAAGATGGAATTTCATTATTTTAAAATCAATATGGAAATCTATTGTAATCAGCCCGTAAGGAAAAGGATTTGAATTTCGACAACCAACACTAAATTGGATCTTCTATATGGTTCACCAAAAGCGTCTTGAACAGGATGCAGGCATTGACCAACAGCTACCTTCATTCCATTCTGAAGATCAGATGGTCGGCCTGAAAAGATTAGAAACAAGAAGCTCTGGGAGCAGACCAACCAACAAAGAAATTATTGCCCAGTAAGTTTTTGAAAGAAAGAGGTCGTTGAGTGCTATAACGCTCCAGGCCAGCCCTCCAGGGGAACCCGAACGGTAAACAACAAGTTGGGCATGATTCGTAGGGTGATATGGAGGAGGTCATGTGAGGAGACAAGACTTTATGGCCAATCGTGGAGGATTATGGAGAACGAAGTGAAATGGAGATGTGCTGTTAATGCCCCATGTTGCATTCTCACCCTGAGGGACTGGTGCTAATAAAAACTTATGTGAACCATTTAGTCGACGTTTTGATTGATAACGGTTTCCGTGTTTATTGACCAGCAGTGGTATACATGTCCACTACTGATAGGTGATGCAAGTTTGAACCATTTACTTTCTGTTTGAGACACATTTCGAGACAAGTCACCAAAGAATGCCTCTAACCGATGTCAGTTAACAGTGAATTCCTGTAACCAACCAGATCAATGCAAACGAACACTTGAATATAAATCAGACGCTCACTAGTGACTAGCCCTGTTCAGGTAGGTTCTAGTGGGAAGTCGTGGCCACTAGGGTACAGCAGGTCGGGTGTGGGGAAAAATACTCACCGATGACATTCGCTAGTGGTCACGACATATCATGAATTGGCGGAAGTTGGAATTCATGAACTGGCCATTGAATTAAACCCCAGCGGCTTAGTGGCCTGCTAACTAGCCTTCTAACCAGAAGGTCCTGGGTTCGAACCCTGGAGGTGAATGCGTACTGCTGAAGGATCTCAAAGTGGGTTGATGAAATAGCTGTCTGACATTGTCCGCGTTGAACTGTAAAAGCGAATCTATCAGATGACTGATTATGATAACAACCCAGCGGTTAATTGTCACCTGGCTATCAGTATATTGGTAAAATCTTACAATCTATGTATCATATTTAAAAATTGGATTTAACCCATAAAATTCATTACTCTGTGGTAGTAGATCAGTCCAGCAACGCATAAGAATTGGGTTCGATTCCCTTCCGACACGATCCTAAACATCGACCAATATAACTCGCTCCACGACGGGTGCATTTGAATTTATAGATACAATTGGAAGTGGCTAGTTAGTCTAGGTACTTCATCTTTCAGTCGTAGTAGCACCATCGGTCGTGTGGAGAATAAGACGTGTAGTTCGTCAGCATTAAAAGTTCTTTGAACTGATTTTCTTAACTTCCTCGTAATTATTTCACTTGGTATATAGCCCTTGAATTGCAGTCGTATGCATAAAGGCTTCTTATTTATAGGTGGAGAATAGTCCTTTTCCGCTTCCTTTGTCATGTGTTTTTTGATAAATTTGTCGGGAAAGCTATTTTCAATCAAGGTATCACATATAGTCCTTAGTTCATCTGCAGTCACCTCTTCTGAGCATATAACTCTAACCCTGTGGCTGAGGGTTTTTACCAAAATTGCTTTTGTACTGGAGAGGAACAAAGCTGTGAAATTCAACATAGGGAAAAGAGCTTCAAGGTGAGATGTTGATGAATCAAGAAAAAACGTTTAATATCACAAAGATGAATTCAATTCTGATGGATTTACTGAGATTTACAATCGAAAATGTCATCTGGAAAGTTGGTCACAAATGTACTGAAAGAAGTTTTTGGAGAAGTAATGGACCCCTTCTGATTACCTGACATTTCTTGTTCTCTTATATAACATATAATGAACAGTGAATGTTCACTTTTTATTTAATAAGGAAGTATATAGACAAATCGACGGTGTAGCAATAGGGTAACCACTAGGACCCATTCTAGCCGACATTTTCCTTGTGAAACTAGAAAATGGGCATTTCAAGGATGTTACTGATGAACTTGAATTCTATTATCGGCACATGGATGAAACATTTTTGATCATGAAAAATGAGAAGGCAGCAAAGAACATCCTGGATAAATTTAATGAGGTTCATCCTGCAATAAATTTTACTATTGAGAAAGAAAATGACTCTAGTATTTCATTTCTAGACGTCCTTATGACTAGAAAAGAGGATGGCACAGTAAGAAGAAGTGTATATAGAAAACCTACATCAATGGGTCAGTATACTCATTTTTTCAGCTTCGTGCCCTTCAAATACAAACGCAATCTGATGAAGTGCTTCGTTCACAAATCAAGAGCAGTCTGCTCAGATGAATGTCTTGATGAGGAACTTAATAATATTATATGGTTGCTGAGTGAAAATGGTTATCCAGAAAAGTTTATTGATACGAATATGAATCTAAAATCAAAGCAGCCCAAGGTACCAACAGTTCCTAGAAAAGCCTTATTCTTACAAATGCAGTACTTTGGGGACAACGTCAGTGAGATACTAACACAGTGCCTTAGAAATGCGGTAAAAAGAGCATTCGGTGTTACTGCTGAATTACACTGTGTCTTCAAAACCACTCCTCTTTTGCGTTCGAGAGTAAAAGATAAACTGCCCTATTTCGCCTCTTCCATGTGTACCTACCAATTTAACCGCTCCTGTGGAGCCAGTTACATATGCCATACACATAGGGAGTTTCTCATCGAATATCCGAACATCACCCTATGTGGTTAAGTAAAGGACAAACCAAATCTATTCGCAGGGCTATTCTATCTCATCTTGTGGATACAGAACACAAGATTGACGTTAACCATGCTTTCAGGGTCACTTACCGCATACCTACGAATCTCAATTTTACCTTAAGAGTTCGACTACTAAATACTGCTGAGGCTGTGGGGATCCATATTAACAAGCCTAATTTGTGCATTCAAAAGAAGTTAGTTCAGACATTGTCCTTACCCCGTTGGCCATCTAGGTTTGAGTGATCCTCAATTTTTGTGTAATTTTCGTAATTTTAATTGATTTTCTATTTGCTACTATATCTTTATTATTATAATTTAAGCATCTTTAATGAACTGTAATTCCATTGTGATCTTACTTTACAAGTCGATATTATTTAAAAAACACTAATATTGTTATTGACTACTATTCTAGAATATTCTATGTATATAAACATATGTATATACAGTTGTAGAGCCGGAAGAGGAATTTATCGAAAAGGATATTCTTCTCTCAATCATTTTATCTTTTATAGATGTCTGAATGAATATTTTTGACATATAATTTTAACAAAATGTTCTGATTGTCATTTTTGTTTTGTTTTGTTTCTTTTTCTATTTTTTCATCTCATTTTTATGCTACTCACCTATGAAGAAAGAATTATCCCAACGTTCAGGTTATAATAATCATTTGAAAACTTCATGTGAAGACATACAAAGCATGAAATTCAACAGGCAGTTTGTTGGTCAGCTACGTGGTTCATGTCGATCTATTTCAGCGGTGAATAACAATCATACAAATAAATTAAGCAAGTTTATAGAGTGATTAGTATCCATTTTTATTTAATTGTTTATCATGATTTCTGTGGTATGTTTGCTGTCCTGGTATTTCTCGTTTATCGAAGTGAAGTGTCCAGTCTCCGTGGACACATTGGCTTCTAGAATAGCAGCTTTGATGAAACCTCTTCGTCAACACCTTTTTTTTTACCTTAGATTGCATTTTGAGTAGAACACAGCGGAGAATATATATCGCCGTAGCATCCTTCAGCTTGGTTAGTGAGTGAGGAAAGTAGGTTTATACATAGATCAGTAATTGAACATCTGGTGAACTCAGGACGCTAAGCTCCATTTAAAAAGTCTTTCAAAGTCGCATACAAGATCCAATCAAAGGGAGTGAAGTCAAGGCATCTGGGCATAGCTGTGGCATTAGTGGTCCAAAAACATAAAGCCAATGAGATGTATTCCAAAGAAATACAGTTAGTTCGCTCAGTAATTATGATCCTACTATGTTTTTATCTGATCTTCCTGTTTATTTTGTTATTATTACATTTTAATCTCCATTTTATTTTCTTGTTATCTGTTATAATTTGACCCTCAACTGGAAATAGCTGTAAAACTTTCTCATTCATTTACTACACATATGAATAAAGCAAGAGCAACCGTGTGGTTTGTGCAGAATAATGTGGTCCCATCATTTATTGTTTCGTTGGCTTCTCATCAGCTGCTGCTTACAGCCTAAATAAATTATGAGGTTTACGTACAGAAAAGTTTTAACATAATTGCAAATTTTACATGATGTCAGTTGACAGAAAGTTCCGCAGTTAGTGAACAGTGCTCAAGAAATTCCGCCTTCATAACTTTTACACAGGCAGTTCAAGTTTAAACAAAATAAATGTATGCATACAATGGTAAAGGAGTTAGGTAATAAAGACGAGATATGCGTAAGATGCAGAGTGGCTAATAAATTAGGTAACAATTTACTGAGTTCAATTCAAATCATAGAAACAAGAGACAAGCAAAATTACACTATATCAAGGATAGGGTGCGGTTGAAGTCAAAGGTTACGAAATCAAATGGAAGAAAGAATAAAGACATCCAGTTACAAGGCTGGGCAAGGGAAGACTGATAACTGCTTCTTTCTGAACACATAAATCTGGTTTCAAGAGTTTGATATAAATTGCTTCGGGAACCTTGAGCAGGATTGAGCACCTTTGTCTATTGATAATTTTAAAGGATTTCGCGATTTCCACCTCATGACCCGTATCAATGAGATGTCTGGTAATACCACTATTAAAAGAGTTTGTTCCCTTGAGATGTAGGCTTATCGGCACATGTTCAGAAAATCGGAGTTTTGGCCTTCTTTCTGTTCGCCCAATGTAACTGCTCCCGCAGATACACGTTAATTTTTATACACAGATGAAGTTAACATGAGAAGGGTATCTGTTGACTTTTGACTGCACCGAAGAGCATGTCGTTCGATGGATGGGAACCAACTTAGCTGCGGGATAGGCTATAGCTAGTGACATTCTCAGCCTTCTGTTGATCATTTCTGCAATGTTGTCACCTTTAAAATCTAGTTGAATGAAGACAGCCTTTTTTTAACTGTGATTTGTTTTATGTTTGAGCATTCACATCTTCCATATTTGCTAATGAGGCTTTGAGGATAACCGTTGTTTTTCAACACCTCTTTGAGAATCGTAAATTCTTCTTCTAGTTTCTCTGTTGAGCATATTCTCCTCGCTCTCAAGTACAGCCTCTTGACTAGTGCTTGTTTATAGTTACTTGGAAAAAAGCTATTAAAATGTAAGTATTGTCCATTCCATGTCAGCTTTCGGTAAATTGACCTCTGGAGGCTACCATCTTTTAGGTGTTGTATGGCAATGTCAAGGAAATGGAACTTTCCATCATTTTCATATTCCATAGTAAATTCAATATTTGTATGTGCGTCAGTGAATAATCTGAGTAAGTAGGAAGCATGACCTTCATTGTTGCACACTACAGATATGTCATCGACATGTCGACAATAAGAAGTTATTTCGTTAAATGCATACTTCAACTTTGTTTTCTCAAGTTTTGACATGAAAATATCAGCTAAAACAGGACTAAGTGGACTACCCATAACTACACCATCTATTTTTCGGTAAAGAGTGTTGTCAAACGGGAATTGTATACCCATGGTACACATTAGAAGTAGGCGTTTGAATTCCAACTCTGGTAGAGGGAGAAGATAAGACGGTTGACAAATGATCTCAATGGTTTCATTGATTGGGATCATTGTGGACAATAAGGTTGCATCAAATGATGCCATGAACTTATCTGAAACGTTCATGTGATTCACACTTTCGGCGAAATGAAATGAGTATATTTTGGTGTGCACTGCTAGTCGTCGACGAATGGATTCCAACTTCTTCTCAAGCCAACGGGCAACCTTATGTTGAGGCGAGTTCATCATCGAAAGTATAGGTCTCAGAGGGACTTCTTTCTTGTGTGTCTTTGGAAGGCAATACTGCACAAACCACTGTTGTTCTTGCTTTATTCAAAAAAGCTAACATTGGAGAATCTTTTCCTAGCATCTATCAGAAAGGCCCCCAGATGTCTGGATGGACAGGTGTTGAATCATTCGTATAACACGTGTTTGTAGTTGATTCGATAAACAAAGCTTCTGTCATCAATCTCACCCTCCACCCTTTGTCACATCAGATTTTAAAACTGTTATCCTATCCCATCCCTTCGTATTGTCTGGTTGTGTGCAATTGCATGTAGTGCCATAGCTGAACCATTCTCTAGATTTCTTATCTTATTCGGGTCAACTAATCTAAACTTTGCTAGGTTTTTATGTTCAGCTAGTCTGACTGCACCCGTTCTACTACTTTGACCTATGTATTTGACCTGACAATCATTCCAGCAGGGTATCAGATAAGCTAAATTCTTTTGTTTGATTGGCTCCACACTATCCCTTAACTGACAAAGGTTGCTTCTAAGTAAGTTTGTGGGTTTAAATGCCAGCCACTCTTATTCCTGCCTTGTTAAGAATTCTCCTTATGGTTTCCGAGGTTTCCTCCTTGTATGGAAGTACCACTGATGATTTGGATTCCTTATTGTCGGTGCTGTCATTATCCTGTGCATGTTTGACATGCATGTCATCATTAATATTTTTATTATTATCACTATCACCACTATTATTATTTATTTTAGTTTTACATTTTCCTACATACCTCCTGAATAATTTATCAGGATAATTATTAAGTTTCAAAGCTTCTCTTAAATGCCTCACTTCCTATCTTAGATTTTGTTTGGTAATACTTAGTTTTTGTGATCTTTTACTTAGTAATTTAACCAAATTTTGTTCGAAACGTCATTTAGTAAATAATACTGTTTGTGTGATATATCTAATAAACAAACTAATATGGAATAACTTACTACTACAGTGCCCAAGTCTTACACACACATTAATATGGCTTGGTCGTACTTTATATATGACTCTGAATGAAATCTCTTCTGATGCTGAGTGACGAAAAGAAACAATGGGCTCCAGAATTTAACTGTTGACTGTTTTGCATCCTCATTTTGACAGTCATGCTGATAAGTATTCACCGGTATGTTTAGACAATATCCTACTAGTATGGCCTATGTACTCTACTCCACAGTGTGTGGGATATTGTTTTTGACATTTTAGTGAGGAAGAACATGTATAGATAAGGTGAAATAGAATCACCAGGATTCTTAGATTTATTTTCAATAGTTGTTTTGTAAGGATTAGATTTGTGATCACCGAAAATACCCATTGAGTCATAAAGAAAATAAATTCAGCGAAGAAAATTTTCTTTATCGATGAAACCATCTTCACAGGCTGCCGTACAGTCGTTTTTATATTTACCAAAAGTGTATAGTAGTGGTCTGTTATTGAGTAATAAGGGGTGACATAATTGATATAATTACTCAGAAGTGGCTTTAGAAGCAAAAAAATGAAAGTTGTAAATTACGTGGTACGTGTTTGGCATGCGATTCGCCCCTGTAAAATGTAAGATGATGCTGCAGGATTGGACTTCACAGACCCCTGGATTAGAAATAGGAAGTGAAGTGGTAGAGCACGTTGACCGCTTCACTTACTTGGGAAGTACCATCAGCCCCAACGGGTTGATCTCCGACGAAATCTCAGCACGGATACAGAAGGCTAGTTTCGCATATGCCAGTTTACGCCGTCTCTGGCGTAGACGCGATATCCGGCTGGCTATCGACCAAAGGGCGTGTGTACTGCTCAACAGTCCGCTCCGTCCTCCTTTATGGCTGTGAGACCTGGCCATTGAGAGTGGAAGACATGAAGAGATTAGTTGTCTTCGATCATAGGTGTCTGCGTTCTGGCTCCCGCGTGAAGTGGTATGATAAGGTGAGCAGTATTGAGGTTAGGCGTCGAGTGCTAGGTAAGGTGGGGGAATCAGTCGATGAGACTGTGAAATTACATCGACTGAGATGGTTAGGACATGTGTTACGTATGCCTAGTCATCGCCTTCCTCGACGGGCAATGTTAGCTGACATAGAGTCAGGTTGGAAAAGAGCTAGTACGTGGCGGTCAAACGAAAACATGGCACCATTCAATGAAATCCACAACAGTTAGTCTAAGCAACGTAGGAAGGTGTAGACTCCCTGGTTGGGATCCTCGGGACGGTAAAATCCAATGGTTGGAAACAATTGGTGACATGGCTCAAAATCGTTCTCAATGACAGCGCAGATGCATCCACTCCTTGTTACTTATGATTTCCAATTGAACTGTTTTGTTCTCCGTTATTACAATTCCTTTGTCTCACACCTCTGTTTACTGTCTCTATTATGCATTTCTACTACTTCCTTCTCTTGCTTTGTGTGGTACATGGAGTGTGGCGACCTGAACTGCCGCACATATGTGCAAAGTTCTATGTCGAAAACCGACCGACCGACGTGGTACTGAAGGGCACAAAGTTAGAAATTTGATAAGGTTAAAATCGCTATTGAGTGAGAATAAAGGAGGTATTTGAGTGTCAATATAATAAGTGTGAAGAGAGTGTGAAAATGTACAAAATGAAAATATAGGAGTGATAATAGTGAATTAATTATTTAGGCAAAAGCAAAGTAATAGTAAAATTGAAAATTTTAAAAAATTAAAATTTTTTACAGGAAACGATCAGTGAAGAAGTTAAGACTAAGGTAGAATAAGAGACTGGACAAACGTTTGCTGTTTACAGAGTTCGGGGTTGTATTGTCTAATTGCCAGCGCCTCCCCGTCATAAACAAATACTTAAACCTGACACCGTTTGTACCATTTGGCCTCACCTTTTAGATAGTCTTGAAAGACGACTCTGGTAGAGCTGTGTGGCTTGAGTTCACCAGGTACTCGAGAATTGAGCTAGTAATTGCCTTGCATTGTCCTTTAGCTAACCATGCCGGATACTGTTCAGAGATGCGTTTGAAGTGTGCGCTTTGTGAGGCCAATATGACAAGATATTTTTGACGATTTAGCTGAAAGTTCTACACAAATTCATTAATTATTCACATTTTCTTGTCAATGTTGTATTTTTCTTTTTCTTGTATCTGCAGATGGATCACTGAGACAGTTGAATACAGTTAATAAAGTACGTCAGTCTAATGCATACAGCACATATTCTTTCCTGTTTCTTTGCTTTTTGAGCGAAACATATAGGGCTTTAGGCTTTGACGCTTTTGTAGTCGTAGTATTGTTTTATTCTACGGCGACGAGGAGACGGAGGGATTACTAACCTCCCGCCTATCCAACCTTGTCTTTTTTATGAGCTTCCTATCAGTTAATAAATTGATCGAAGCTTTTAGGAGAGCACGTTGGCTGGGAAGTGAACCCCGGTCCTCCAGCGTAGTTGGTGACCATTCTACCGTTGGACCACGGAAGCCTGTTGCATATATATATATATATATATATAAAGAAGGCACTAAGTTTATTATCTCTAACACTTAACCGTTAGCTACAAAATGTACTAGTATAAATTCTGTTGTGCGTCTAGTTTGAATAAATAATAATAATGAATCCTTAATCCATTGATATTAGTAGTTAGTAGTAGGCGTAAGACCTTCGTTCAGCTTATTTAGGAATTATCAGCTAGAAGTGCCTTCATCCTCTACCTTATTGAGTGTTACTGTTCTCAATGAGACTCATAGTGGGAAAACAAATGGATTCAAATTCGTTATTATAATTATTCTGGCATCAGGTTTGGTCTCGGATTGATACCAGCTAGATAACCACTTAAAATCAGAATGCGGTACTGGACAGCTATTTGCGACACTTCTACAGTAAGGTCACCCCATCCCACCGGGGTTCGAATCCAGGAACTTCAGGCTACGAGGTCAGCTCGTTGACTATTCACTTGCCCATGAATATAATAATTCAATTGAATATTCCCATAATTTATTCAGAACAATAAAATAGTTAGAGTGAACAACTGTGGCTTTCAATAAATTCTTCTTCTTCAGGCTCTCTCTACAATTATAAATCCATTAATTTAGGCATACAACAGCCAGTAAAGGCAAATTAGAATCATATCAGAAAGTGTGTTGTGAAACAAGTATAACATGGGATGGAACAATAGTCAATTAGTTTTTTAATATGCATGGTCAATGTGAACATGGGGCAAAATGAGATGAAGTAATTTAATTTAATGATGTGTGTATATATATAAATATAGTCAACAGAAAAATACAGGTTTCGAGAGTGAGTGTAATCAGTTAGTGTGTGAGACAATATGAAAATTAACCAACGAATAGGGCGGTCTAGACATAAGTTCAAGGTTGAAAATAACGACAGTAAGAATGATTGTAAGATAATAACGATGATGTGGTGTAAACTTAAAAGTAATATTGGCGAATGACTGTCAAATAATAATAATAATAATAATGAACATAATGAAGTGGAATGAACAGGATTTTGTAAATACGATAACAAGTTAGAAAAGCACTATTTAAACCTAAGGTAATAAAATCATAAGAAAGGTCATGAAATCATAAAAGTCGAAAATGAGCGTTTGTCAATGAAACAGAGGAATAGAAGAAGAAGAAAAGAAAATTGTGATAGGAATTTATAGTGTTGATGGAGGATTTGTCGGCTTTATTGTAGGCCAAGGTAAACACAGAGGTTGAACATGCTTCTTCTGTATACAAAGAGTCGGTCTTCTGGCATTAATGGCAACCGCTTTCAGCTACTGACTGATAGAAGACGTAGGCGAGCTCCTCTGGATAGATTACTAGGAAGGTGGTAAATCACTGAGAATGCCTGGTCAAGTTTTATCGAGTGTCCAGCATCTACCAAGTAGGCTAAGACTGCACTATTTAGGCATTTGGTTACCCCTTTACTCAACCATACATACAGTTACATGTTCACGCGCGTGCATGGATAAAGCCATCTGAGTACGGCCAATGTAACTAGCTATTGTAGGCTTAAATTAATGGATTTATAATTGTAGAGAGAGCCTGAAGAAGAATTTATTGAAAGCGACAATTGTTCACTCTAACTATTTTGTTGTTCTGAATATGATAATTATCAATTTTCAGTTATTGCTGCTAATTTTTAATTATCACACAAATCTGTGTTAACTGTTGTTTTCCACATATTACTTTATTTAAAGGTGAACTATTCCTCGCTACGGTGTTCTGCTAATCCAGGTTAGTGTAATTCATTTATATATCTATGCATAATAACCTATTGCAATGATACGATGTCAACCAGAAACTAGTGTGATTCACTTTAACAGTCTCTCAACCAACTAATAAACAGTGGTAATGTCTCTGACTGTAGCACTCGGTGACAAGATCCCAACCCAAATGGTGACATGGGTTCCCTTTTAATCCACCTTTGTGATAAGTGCTCGTAGACACGAAACCTAGGTGTACGGTTTCCTGTTAATCAGTTTAAGGTGTATCATGATGGCGAGTTACTTAGCTTAACGCATAGAATTCAGTTAACAGTTGCAACCATCAATCATTAACACAGTATGAGTTTTATTTAATTGAATTTTAGATTTTCCCGTGGATTGATTGATTGGACCGAAGTGCTCGGTCCCAGGTTGACATGTCTGTCGGCTTCTTGTGCAGATGCCTCGACGATGTCTAAGCATATAATTAGAATTTAATTGGTGTATGGTGACAAGTAGTGGAATCCAGAACAACGCGCATTTCGTCCTTCCTAGGACTCGTCATCTGGATGTGGACGGAAAAATCTAAAATTCAATTAAATAATTAATATGACCCGTTGCATAAAAGGTGACCAGTTCCCGTAACCCAAGTGGTCTAGTGGATAACGCTTTGGCGTTTGAAACTATGGCGACTGGGTTCGAGCCTCAGGGGTGGGACCATCATCACTGACTCACTGGGGAATGCAGGTACATCTACTGGCTGACGAATCCCAAATAGGACGAGATACGCATCTTGATGGATTCCACTGCTATTCACTATCAACCAACTGACTTCAAATTACCTCATAAAATTGATTAGGAAGACCATAAAGAAACTATTGTCATGGAGGACAGTCATTCTGGGATCATTCCATTTGATCTGCGTCCTACTTTGGGACTCTTCGTCAGCACACAACCACCATCAGGGTTCGAACCCAGGACCCTCTGGTTACAAGGCGAGCTGGCTCGTAGACCATTAAGCCACTGGGACCCGATCCAATGGTCCATGAATTCTAACTTCTGCCAATTCACGATATAGCGCGACCCCTAGCCATGTCTTCGGCGAGTATTTGTCCTCACACCCAACCTGCTGCACCTGCTGCACGACTTCCCACTGGAAACCCAGGTAACTACCTACCTGAATAGGGCCAGTGGTGGGCGCATACTGTTGAAGAGTCTCACACGAGTTGGACGAAACGGCTGTCCAGTACCCCCTGCTGGTTTTCCAATGGTTCTCTAACCAATGTCACCTCATGATGAAATCCTCTAACCAATCAACCGAATCCCTACAAACCAATACTCTTGAATATCTTTTGATATAGTGTTGCTGTCGATATCAGTGTATGTTTCTCTGTTAGTTACTAATGGGTTATACATGAATCTATAAACGTATTCATTGTTTGCAAAGCACAGAATACCACATGTATTTTGTGTGTATGTGTGCGTGTGTGGGTGTGTGTATTCATCGGTATGTGCTAATGTTCGAAACAAATATTTGCATTATTCATTGTCATAAATTTATTTTTGTTTACGGGTATTTTTAAGTTTCATTGTAACCTGGTGTGTTCCATTTGTTCTGTTCGGTTTGTTTTCGCTTTACTTCAACTTTGTTTGTGCATGTGTGTGTGAATGTGTGTTTCTGTGTGCGTGTCTGTTGAATACAACTCGAAATTAGCTTTTAAAATCAAAGTAGAGGAGGCAGAAAAACAAGAAGACGAAAGGTATCTAAAAAAAAGTAGAGAGAGAAGACATGAACTAATGTCATATTGGTTTTCTTAGCTAGAAAAGCAAAACTGCTTTTATTTCAAGGGTTTATTTATTTTTATTTGTGTGTGAAGGCTTGTAGATGACTCATTGTTGGGGTTAAATTCAAGTGAACAATGAATGGTGTAGTGATGATGTTTTGTATATTCTTTTTGGCTTGTTCATACTTATTTTTCTTCAAAAAGCGTTTCAGTTGGTCATGAGAGATAAGATGGGAACACGTTGAACTAACAAGAAGACATTTGCTTCTTTCTCCAAAAATATCGTACCTGATGCATGGAAAGACATTAAAATTGTCCCTGTCCCTAAACCTGGAAACAGCAAGAACGTAAAGTTCAGACCCATTGCCATCACTTCCCCGTTTCTAAAGCTTATGGAAAAACTAATACTTCTTCAATTTGAACCCTCCCTTAAAAGCTTTGAAGACCCCAAACAATTCGCCTATAGACAGGGTAGGAGCACTTTAGACGCTGCAGCTGTCTTACACAACAACATCGTCTCATCATTAGATAAAAGTGCCAAATACGTCCGCTGCACGTTTCTAGACTTCACTTCTGCTTTCGACTCTGTTCCTAGATGTCTCCTGCTAAATAAGCTCTCGTTGACAAAAACCGAGTCCTGGGTCACTAACTGGCTGCATTCCTACTTCTCTAACAGAATGCAGTACACCGTATACAAAGGTAAATCATCCTCTGCTGTACTCACTGAAGCCGGAGTCCCCCAAGGTGCTGTACTCTCCCCACTTCTCTTTTCTTTCTTTCTACATGACTTACCATCTTCAAATGACATTAATTTTGTCAAATATGCTGACGATCTGACTGTATCTTTGCCTGTCAAATGTCAAAGCGACTGCTCTTAACTAAATGGCTTTCTTTCAGAAATCAGCCAGTGGTCCAAGGAAAATGGTCTTACTTTAAACCCCTCTTAATGCCAAACAGTCAATTTCAACTGGTTGGCTCTCACGAGGTATACAACATAGACGGCACTGAATTAGGAACCAAATCGGAAATAAAATACCTAGGCGTCATTCTATCTACTGATCTCATATCTTGGCGATTTCTAAGAAAATATTCCGTCTTACCTTCTACATCAAGAAGTTAAAACATTCTGGTGTAACCCAACCCTTACTCCTACAATTCGTTAACTCTCGAATTCTGCCTATTATTCTTTATAGTTCCCCCTTAGTTTTTCCTGGGCTACTGAAGAAAGACTATAACATATTACGCAGGATGTTAAAGGTTGTCAGGAGGGTAAACAACGTGCCACTTAGCCAGCTTGTTAATATTCTGGTTGACAGGCACATGGACTCATGTGAAAAATGGGCCAAATCCATTTTATCTAACTCACACCACCCTCTTCACTCACAACTCTCCCTTTGCACCTCATCAGGCAAAACCAGAAGCCAATATAGAAAACTATATGCTCGCACCAGCAAGTACAAAAACTCAACCATACCCTTTTTAGCTCGTGTTCTGTGCGATAAAGAAAGCATTAGGCGTGACACCTATAATTCATTAAATAGTCAGTAGAACAACTGGATCTCGTCTTTCCAACTCATATCATTTATGGCCACAACATTTTCTTTCTTTCTTTTCCTTTTCTCTCTCTCTCTCTTTGTGTTATGTGCTGCTTTGTCTCTTTCTCTCGTTTACGCCAGTAAATATGACAGCACCTACTTTTCTAACACCTTCAAACACTGTTTCAGCTTTACCTTTGCTACCGACATGCCAATGTATTGTTGTAATAATGAACTGTGGTTTCCTCAATCTATATAGAATTCTATTTATTGATAATGTGCTAACTGGATGCAATACTGTAGTAAAAATGCTGAGAATTCCATTCTGTATCACAAGTACTGTTTTGGAATAAAGCAAATTATTATTATTATTTTAATATCTCTACTTGGGGCACGATTTATCTCTAATGTTGGAGGATTTTATCATGAGCTGACATTGGTTAGAGAACCATTGGAAAACCAACTAGAAGTACTTCTAGACAGCTGTTTCGTCCTGTTTCGGGACTTGTCATTTGAATGTAGCTGTATCTGCGCTGACTAATGATGTTCCCACTGGGACTCGAATAGAGTAGCTGTGTCACTTCAACAGCCTAAAACATTATCTACTAGGCAACTGGGCCATGAGAGCCACTTCTCACAGCTCAGCAGGTTTGATAATTGTCATAAAATGAAACTAAGTCAAGTCGTGAACAATTCTAACTAATACCAAGTCATGGGTCCTTTAAAAAGATTTCGTATATTGTTGACTATGACTCTTAAAATAAGACATCTAAAGAATTGACTGTAGCTTCCGTTAAAGAAAAGACAGTGGCGGGTGACGTGTATCCTATCAAATCAGATGTGTTCATATCTATCGAGAAGCCATAGAAACAAACAGATCAACAGGGTCAGGTCACCAAGTCAGGTAAGAGGACATTTACTCGCCGATGAAATTAGCTGACGGCTGAGCTACGTATATCACGAATTAGCGGAAGTTGGTATTCATCGAGTATCAGTGGTTGGAGGAATAATCCACGAGCTCTTCTTGTAACCGGAAGGTGGCATGTTCGAACCCTAGTGGACTCGTACTGAAGAAGCGTCCAAAACTACGACGAGGACAGTTGTTCAGCAATCAATGGTTCTCCAGTAGTCAATCAACACTCATAATTTCAAACGCCGAAGAGATATCCACATATTTGGCTACGGGTTGGTATCAGTTAGAGAACCGTTGCAAACCAGCAGGGAGAAATGGACAGCCAGCTGTTTTATCTTAGTTTGGGAATCATCGACAATATGCCCCGACTGCCAGGGTTCGAAACCAGGAACTTCCGATTACAAGGCGAGCTCACACGCCATTCAGCCACTGGGAGCCGATTCAATGGCCAGCCCATGAGTTCTCACTTTTACCAATTCGTGACCATTGAGGTCCAACCAGTCAAGTGTGAGGATGGATTTCCCACCGATGACATTGGTTGGTTGTCGCGCTAAATCACGAATTGGTAGAAGTTAGAATTCATGGACTAGCAATTGAATCGGTTCCCAGTGGCTGAATGATATACGAGCTTGCCCTGTAACTGGAAGGTCCTGGGTTCGAACCCTGGTAGCGGGTGCGTACTGCCGATGATGAAACAGCTGGCTGTTCAGGTTTCCTTGCTGGTTTTCAGTGGTTCTCTAAATGATATCAATCCGTGATCAACTCGTAAGAACAGATCTAATCCTTACACAAACCAGCTATTGAAAAGTAATTATGTGTCTAATCATTAGCTGACATCAGTTAGAGAACCATTGTAAAACCATGCACTGGGTACTAGACAGCTGTTCGGGACCCTCCAGCAATGCTCGACTAACTCCTATTTACAAGGTGAGCTTGTAGACCATCCTATCATTTGGACACTATCCAGCCGCCCATAAATTCCAACTTCTGACAATTCGCGATATATGTAGCTCAACCAACAGTCAATATCGTCGGCGAATGATTGCTCTTTCACCTTACTTGGTCGACCTCACTAGTCACAACTTTTCACTAAAACTTTAGGTAACTTCTTGCATACAACCAGTCGGTTGCGATTTATTATTTTATTTATTGTTCCCTTGGGTTCCTAGGGGAACATAGGCCTTCAACTGCACGTCTTCACTTGCTTCTGTCTTCTGCTGTACTTTTCACCTGCATCCATGTTAGTCCATACTGTTTCAACTCTTCTTCACACGATCTCCTCCATGTCACCCAGCGGCCTCCTCAGCAACTACCTAATCCATCTCCACTTTCTCCTGCATATTTGTTGAGCGATTCGTTCTTGTTTCGTTTGTTCCCATAGTTTCTTGTTGCTGATTCTTTCCGGCCATCTGACCTTGAGTACAGAACGAAGACAGCTGTTGATAAAGGTCTGCAACAGGCTGTTGGAAATATTCTTTGTGACCCGCCGCCAAGTTTCTGATCCGCATAGAAGAACTTACACGATGTTTGTATTGAAAATCCGAATTTTGTTGTTGATGCAGGCTGAGTGAAGAAGATTTCCAGATTGGTTTCAGGTTGATGAATGTGTTTCTCGCCTTTCCGATTCTCGATTTGACATCCTCGTCCGTTCCTCCTGTAGTTGAGACAATGCTTCCTGCCTGGATAAGTGAATGAAGTAACCTCTTTCAAATTCGTCCCGTCGATGGTGATTGGCGCTGGATGTTGCTGCTGTTGTTGTTGGTGGTTGGTTATTTTCATAACCTCCGTCTTGTCTATGTTCACCTGGAGTCCTGTCTTCTATGGCTGCTTCTTCGACCAGTTTGTCGGTTTTCGCTTGTAAGTCTTCTTTGCCTAGATTGGTAGCTCACTAGTATTCTAGCCGGTCCCAAGCCCGGATAAAGAGGGAGGGTTGGGGCGTAGTGCTCGCGACTCCACCCCCAAAACTTAACCAAACTGTTACAGAAACTTCAACGCACAAGTATATTAAAAATTCTAAAACGGTCGGTCGCGAATATGAGATTAATTATCAAGTGTCAGTTCTCAGGGATTTGATTCATTACATATTTGATTAGTAATTGAAAATAATTTTATCTTCCCTAAATTCCAAACATTTAACACTCATACGCCTTTCTTATTTCTTCTTTTTCTATAGTTGTATTCAACGAAGCTCGATTCACTACTGCTCTCCAACCAGAATTCAATTCAAATTTCGTCTGTTATTCACTGACCGGTACTCAATCAACTCCGCCTACATCCAGATTAATGTATTACAATCCCTATAATTATGATAACTGTCTACAAAGTGAAGATATGAATCCTAATTTCTATCCTACTAGTCATAACCACCATCTACCTGTAATTCCTAATCAGATTAGATCCTTCAGCTTGAATGAATTACGTCATTCGAGAGTTATTCAACCCATTTGTCCCAATAATAATAATAATACTAACATGCGACCAAGTGTTCGTTGGGATGCCCATAACCGTTCCGCCGGTGTTAAATCTCCATCGACAAGTGGACACACCTATCCTTTAAGAGAGAATTTCTATCCCAGCACACAAGTGACTGCTGTAAGTCAACTCCCGCCACAATATGCGAGCAGTTATCATCAGAAGAGTTATGCCGCCTCACGTATTCGTTCGCCACAACCACAACCACAAATACAACCAGCCCAATGGATTGATCAAAGAAATACTTTTCATAACAATGGCAAACAAACACTGACAGCGTTTTCAAGCAATGAACAAGTAAACATGGTATCCAGCGTACCGTGTCTACCGTGTGATTCACCGGCTTCCGTCAAATGTAGCACCTCAGAAAATGTGTATTCCTCCTTCAATACGCCTAGAAATCATCGAATCTCGCCTCATATGATGAATAGTGTTCGTGCTTTTTTTTTCGTAAAATCGATATTTACATTTTACCTGCAATTTTTTGCTTATATGATTTATTTGCTTATCCTCTTGAGTTTCTGTTTATTACACCGGCTCTAGAAATTATCCACTGTAGACTGTATAAGAGGTAAATTATACTAACAGTTCTCAATTCGCACAGCTGAGGAGGTGAAGGTTTAGATAACATATTTCGTTAATGGGTTAGAAAATAAATTAAGATTAAATAAGCAAGTTGAGTATTATTAATACCTTTCGGTTCTATACTGAAGATCAGATGGCAGGAAAGAATCACCAACAAGAAACTATGGTAACAAACAAAACAAGAACCAATCACCCAACAAATATGCAGGAGAAAGTGGAGATGGATTGAACACTCGCTGAGGAGGCCACTGGGTGACATCGCGTGTCAGGCCAGTGCTCGACTGGAACCCGAAAGGGAATCGGCGAGTAGTGGGACATCGAAGGGTGACATGGAGGAGACCGTGTGAAGAGGAGTTCAAACAGTATGGACTAGCATGGATGCAGGTGAAAAGTACAGCAGAAGACAGAAGCAAGTTGAGACGTGCAGTTGAAGCCCTATGTTCCGCTAGGAACCCAAGGGAACAATAATATTAATACAACATTAGAAATTTTGGAAGACTGATTAATTAGCGCACAATATCTCTTTTGGATAATGCCTTCTTCATCACGTTCTTTATTCACATGGCCATAGTAACGTTTCAAGAATTGTTGTTATTCAGAACACTAATGCTTTAAATAATATTGAATCAATAAGGCCGATAGACTACAGTTCAACAGCATTTGTGAGTTGTGATATGCGTAAAATTGTAATAATAAAGGGAATATCGGAATAGGTTAAGAATTCTACAGTAGGCTGTTGTAGAATTGATAGCTAGACATGTTTCTTGAGCATCCAGGACACTGGTTGTTTTAAACGAATTCCAATTACATCTGCTGTTTGGAGTGTTCGATATTTGGAGACCTTTCGCAGTTTATTAGATATTCGATAGATGATACATTGAGATTTTTCGGTGCTGGTTTTATAGCCAGTTTAGACGAGGTGACCTAATGTAGAACTCTCGATGTGACAACAGAAGACAAGGCTGGCAACAGATCGGTTTTATTACGAAAACCAACAGGTATTTATATGTATTTTACGTACATTAATAAGGCTTCTGCCCGCAGAAAGAAGGCGGTCTTCTGATTGGTTGTTTGCAAACAAACGCAGTCTTCTGCTTACTCGTTTTCGATATTTTTCGGAAATGCGAGCCACTTGTCTGCGAATCATATTTGTCCACGTTTAGGTCAGCTGTGATTGGTTGTTGAATCAGCCTAGATTAATTTCTACCAATCAGCGTAGATCAATGTCTACCAATTGGCTAGCAGCTTGCTCTCACCACATCGATAGCTTTAGTTACGCCTTTACAAGTTTCTAAACACCAAACACTAGGTTTCTAGAGCATTGGTTAATATAACTGTCTCCGTAGGAGCCAGTGAATTAGTAGATTCAATATGAGGTGGCTTGATTAGATACTTCATCTTTCAGTTGAGGAAGTTGTAGATTTCCAGGATTGAGAGTTCTTTGCATAGACTTTCTCAACTTTTTGATTATTATTTCAAATGGTATACCCCCTTTGAATTGTAGTCGTATATGTACAGTGGCTTCTTGTTAAGAGACACGGGAGATTTCTTCTCTGCTTTCTTGGCCATGTGTTTAATGACAAACTTTTCAATTCAACTGTTGTATACAACATTAAGTACGTCTTCAATCTCATCTTCTGAACAAATAGCTCTGAACAAAACAGCTACGGCCTTCTGTCATATATTTTTTATACCGGAGACGGACAAAGCTGTGAAAATGTGTGCAAGGGAAAAGTACATGGACAGGTCAACACAGTCCACAAAACTAGAATTGAAGAATCTTTTTCTATTATCCATCAGGTGACAAATAAATTACCAAAGGTCTCCAAATACAGACCACTCTAAACAGCAGAGGCGAGTCGCTTAAAACTTCCAGAACTCAGTATACAAACAAAACACGTCCAGCTGCTATTACTACGCTAGCCCGCTCGCTGTCTAATCTATAAGTCCATAAATTCTCGGCTAATTCCCTTTATTCACCAAACATTTTTACGCATATTACAAGTCAAGGATACTCTCAACCTGTAATCTGATGGTCGCTGGGTGTTTAGCTGACTCTGATTTGATTTGTTAAGATGTCTGGTGGGAAATCTTTTCAGATTTTTCACTACTATCCAATTAGTAGTCTCATTAGGCATTTTCACTCTGTAATTCCCTCGGGGGTTATTGAAGTCATTATTCGTATGCTTTTGAAACACTATCCCTACGGTGAAAATTGAATAAGTAAGCTAAAGAAAATCATTAGCTATACAGCTGTAAATTAGCATTGACAGTCTTCAATTTTTTTGGGGGTTGAACTAGGGCCTGCGGAGAAAACATTTTCCATTCACTCATTGATTTTATATCAGTCTGGAAGCGTTTTCAAGAGTACCTTCGTGGGGAATTTGATTTATTTGAGGTTTGATCACGGATTAATGCCAGTTAGAGGACCATTGAAAACCGACAGGAAGTATTCGACGACTGTTTCACTGTAGTTTGAGTTCTTGCAGAAATACCCACCAACCGGGATCCTCAGCCAGGACCTTCCGGTTACACAGTAAGCTTGTAGACCATTCACTCATTGGAATCCAACCCAATGACTTATGAATTCTCACAGTTACCAGTTCGTGATTTTAGGCAGACGACCAGCCAGTGTCTCCTGAGAGTGTCTGTCCTCACCTCCTATCTGATGAATACCACTGGTCACGACTTCTCAGAAGAACTCCAGTCAACTACGTCCAGTAGCCAGTCACTAGCAAGCATCAGATCAATTTTCAGTAGGTGGTTTGTTAGGATTGAACTTGTTTCAAGTTTGCTGTGTAACGGGAATACCCTAGATCCAAACCCTAATCGGTGTGCATTGCTGAAAAGTCCCTTCAAAACAAGAGGAAACAGCCTTTCAGTACTCCCTGTTGACTTTCAGTGGTTCTCTAAGTGACTTAAATCCGTGGTCAAAATTAAAACATACCCGAGAGGTGATTGTAAACAATGGTTAGTTGTAAATGCCACTGGATAAATGGTTAAAAGCTTGGCTTCGTAACCTGAAGGTTCTACGATCGATTCCCGGTAGACCATAGATGTGTGCTCATAAAAACAGCCCCTAGCTGCAGAGAAAACGCTGTCCAGTACTCTCTAGTCTGTTCATCAGTGGCAGAATAGCCGACATCTACGAACGCAGCCTAGGTTCATTTCCCCGCTAACACACTCCTAAATCCCGACTTGTTTATTAGTGGGTAATTTGCTCAAGATATGGCATGAAGTTAATAATTCCAACCTGGAAAATTCACATCACTTCCACTGAAACTTCAAGATCGTAAACAGGTTATAAAATTCAAACATTTTTTTTTACAGTTTGGTTTGTAAGGGTTAGTTATGTTTTTACGAGTTGATCACGGATTGATATCATTTAGAGAACCATTGAGAACCAGAGAGTACTGGACAGCTGTTTTATCCAAGGTTCGAACTCTGAACCTTCAAATTACAAGGCAAGCTCGTATACCGTTCAGCCACTGGTACCCGATTCAATGGCTAGTCCATGAATTCTAACTTCTACCAGTTCGTGACTTAGCGCGACCTCAACCAATGTCGTCGGTGGGACATCCATCCTCACACGTGACATCTGGATGGACCTCAGTGGTCACAACTTCTCACTAGAACTCCAGGAAACTGTATCCTGTAGCAAGTCACTAGCGAGCATCAGATTAATTTTCTATAGTTTGGTTTGTAAGGGTTAGTTCGAATGGTACACAAGCTTGTCTTGTAACCGGAGGGTCCTGAATTCGAACCGTTTTGGTGGGTGCGTACTGCCGATGATTCCCAAACTAGGCTGATGAAACAGCTGTCCAGTACTCCCTGTAGCTGGTTTTCAATGGTTCTCTAACTGATATCAATCCGTGATCAACTCGTACAAGCACTTTTTGTCTAGTTTCTCTGCTAAAAATCTATTTTATCATTTATTCGTTTCCTTTTTTAATATTTAGGTTAATCATGCACAACAAGTCAATGAAATCCCACAGGATTTTGGATGTTTTATAGACAGTGAGTGATTTTATCTCGATTAATTTCTCAAATATTTTATCTTTTTTTGTCAGTTCATCACTTGGTTTTACATGTTTTATGAATTTTTTCTTTTTTTACAATCTAACTGTCTGGAATTTCCAGTTACAGTGTTGTGTGTTCAATGATTATAAAGACAGATTGACAGATGATTTCAGCGATAACATTGAAAGACGAAAAAATAATTTCAAATAGTCTGTTGTTAAACAAAAGGAAAACCATAAAATTAATCGATATTTTTCTTTGTGACAGAATTTAAGAATTTAGTCAGGTTTCAGTTTTCTTTGAATGAGACTGCTGCACAGTGTGTAGATTTTGCTTCATTACGAAGCGTAGTTTATTGTTAATTATTACTATAGCTCGCTCGGGTTCTGAGTGAAACATAGTAAGGGCTTCAGCTGCACACCTTCACTTCACCCTTTCTTCTGCAGTCGTTTTTAGCTGATTCCATGATTATCCATAAGCTTTCATCTCTTCCATGTCAATTTTGGATGCATTTGGGTCCCACTCGAGGGTGGGTCTGGCAGGCGATGTCACTTGGCGGTCTCATCAAGCATGTGTTAGATCCATTTCTATTTGTTAGGTTCTTCGTTGAAATGTCGCCTGTCAGAGTTCCTTGTTGTTTCTTATCATCTGATGTTTAGTGTGGAGCGAAGGCAGTTGTTGAGAAAAATTCGAAGATTGTTCGAAATACGTTTAGTGACGCGATAAGTCTCTGCACCATACTGAAGAAATGACTGACGATTCGCTCTCGTCAAATGTAAGGTGATCAGGCTACAGGAGCGGACTACATGGACCTCTAGCTTAAAGATAGGGAGTGGAGTAGTTGATGGAGCGTGTTGACCACTTCGCTTATTTAAGAAGTTGCATCAACAAACGCCAGTGGGTTGATTACTGACGAAATCTCATCATGGATGCAGAAGGCTGGTTTGGCATTTGCCAACTTACGCCATCTCTGACCTAGTAGGCGTGATATCCGGCTGTCTGTTGGCCAAAGGACGTGTGTACTGCTCAGCAGTTCACTCTGTTCTCCTTTTTGGTTGGCCGTCAGACATGGCCACTGAAAGCGGAAGGCAGGAAAAACCTGGATAGCTGTCTTTGATCACAGGTGTCAGCGTCCTATTTATCATGTCAAGTGGTATAATAGAGTGAGTAGTATTAAGGTTAGACGCTGGTCGAGTGCTAGGTAAGTAGGGGGGGGGGGAAATGAATCGACGAGGTTGTGAAGTTACATCGATTGAGATTGTTAGGACATGTGTTACGCATGCATCCCTACCCACCATCGCCTTCCTCGACGGGCAATGTTAGCCACTGACATAGGCTGGATTAGGTTGGAAAAGAGTTAGCTAGCGGTGGTCAAATCAAAACATGACTTCATTAGTCAATAAAATCCACAACAATTATTTTAAGCCAGCCAGCCAGTCACGTAAGGAGGTGTAGACTGGCTGGTTGGTTGGTTGGGGTTATAATGTGTGTGTACGTTAAATTTGCCAGACGAAAATACAGTTAGTAAGTTCAGATGAATTGGATGTTGATATAAGAGGGTAGTAACAAAAGTGATGAGGTGTCACAAACGATTGTTAAAGAAGAGTTACGCAACAATAACATGAATAGTTTGATGAAATTCTTGTGCTCAGTGTGTACATGAAAACAAAATAACTTACGGAATTACGCGACAGTTTTAAGTAGTTAGAAAAATAAGCATACAAGCAAAAGTTAAGTCAAATCAACAGAGTTGTTACCATGACAGTAGAAGTGGTTGAATAATCTACTTTTGTATACATAGTTCTGGTTCTTCTAACTGTGAAGTTCCTCTGTAGGTTAGCTTGCTGTTCAAATTCGATCAGGTGTTTCAGGATACAGTTGCGGGCGGGAGAGTATATGTTCGATGATACGTTTTGGTAGAAAACGCTGGACACGGTCGATATACCTAGCTCTACACCAGTAGGTGAACTCTCGTCCGATTTTGGTTGAACTGTACTCAACCTCGTGAAATATATTACGTCACTCAATTCGCTTATTTAATTATATGATTGAGTTGTACTCAGGATACACATTCGAACAAAGCAGAAAATACGAAATCACGTAAGAGTTCCAAATGAACACAAGAATTATAAGTAATTAAAGGAACAGGCAAACAAACAAAATTAAGTCATCAAAAATCAACAAAGTTGTTTTCATTATAATAGAAGTGGTTGAGTACACACAAAAGTGAATTACTCGACCACTTCTATTAACACGGTGACAAATTTGTTGATTTTTGATGACTTAATTTTGTTTGTTTGCCTGTTTCTTTAATTGCTTATAATTCTTGTATTCATTTGGAACTCTTACGTGACTTCGTATTCTCGACTTTTTTCTTATTTAATTCCATCTTAGTTTCTATCCAATTAACGCTTTTCATAGTAGGCAATCGGTTGTCTAAAATTTACAATTCTGATGATGCATCTTTGGAAATATGCCTTCTTGTTGCTGAGAAATTTTACTATATATATACATATGGCTTCTCTGTGGCTCTGAAATATGGCCAATACGAGTTGAAGACAGGAAAAGGTTGACTGTTTTTGATCATAGATGTCTACGATCTCTTTCTCACGTTAGGTGGCATAATAAGGTAAGTAATGTTGACGTTAGGCGTAGAGTGTTGGGCAAAGAGGGAAAATCAATAAAAGAGGCTATAAAATTACATAGATTGAGATGGCCGGGTCACGCGCTGCGCATGCCTAACCATCGCCTCCCCCGACGGGCATTACTAGCTGATATAGGTGCAGGTGGGAAAAGAGTAAGTGGTGCCATGCCAAACAAAAAGATGGCATCAATCCATGAAATCCTTGACAGTTAAACTGAGTCAGGTAGGGAGATGCAGACTTCCGGGTCGGGGCCCGCCCTCGGGACTCTAAGAATCAATGGCTGGAGACAATAGGTGACATGGCTCAAAATCGTTGTCAGTGGCGCAGATGTACTCAGTCTCTGTAATCTTTCATATTCCTTTCTACCATTACTCATTCTGTTTCACTCTTATGCTTGTCAAAACTCTATTGATTCTCTTCACTCATTTTCCTGTCTACCTTTGGAACCTGGCAACTCGAACTGCTGCACTTCGGTGCCAAGTTCTATGTTGAATCCAGACAGACATATATATATACATATATATATGCTTGATTGTACAGCTTGAGTATGATATCGTCGAAAAGAGGAGTAACTCTTCAATGAATACCTTTTCTTTACTATTATCGAAGCTGGTTAGGTATTGGAATCTCTAAGTCAATCAGGAGTTCAGTATCGGCACATCTTGTGGATACCGTGCACAAGACTGATAAAAATTCATACTTTTTAGAATTCTCCAAAAGCTACCACCTTAATTTTCTAGGTTTCTACACCTCTGATTGTGAGGTATACCTGAGACAATTTCTATAAAAACGAATTCATTATTGGCACGTCTATGGATGCCGAGTACAGAACTAATGGAAAATCAGCCTTTCGAGAATTTTCCACAAGGTTCCTCTCATTCTTTTTTATTCCTTTACATTCCTAGTTGAACAAAGGTCTTCAAGCTAGAGGCTTCCTTTTCTACAGGTCTTATTACTAGCTTATCGAGGTAAAGGAGCGCCTCATTGGCCGAGGATTGAACTCCAAGCCACCCGGTTGGTTGGCGAGCATTATACCACTGTGCCACCAACGCACTTTCCACAAGCTACTACCTTAATTTTCTATGTTTTGTACAACTCTGATTTTGAAGCAAAGCTGAGTTAGTTGCTATAAAATGAAATTTTCAATCCAATCTCTGTGTTCAGAAAAGGTTTGTTCACTTCGTCTCCCTCCTATGGCCTTCAATCTTAACCTAGAATAGTTATTTCTCCAAGTGATATCGAATAATTGCTAACTTTATTATCAATATCATGCTGTGCTATAATTGCATATTATACTATTAACATATTGTCTAATCGCCATATAATAATAGTCACTTTTCCCTCTACGCCTAAAAGTGTACACATTTTACTTATGCATTCACGGTGATGGACTGACTAGACTATATAAACACTTGAACGAATCTCTCCCTGTTATCCCCACATTCGTGACGAAAATCTAACATCAGTGACTGATCTGAGATCTCCACAAATCCTATAATCTAAATATCAATCGCAAGCTCATTGATGTCCACTGGATGAATGTCCTGAAGCTGCAGTAGGAAGTCCATCATATCATGGTGATTTGGATCTTATCGACAGCACTACAGAGGGTTGAGCTATATCAAGTGGTAATAAGATTCAAATTCAGAAGTCAATGAATTCCCCCACCCCAAAAAAGTGGCTGAATGATCAACAGGCTTGGTCTTATAACCTGAAGGAAGGTCCTAGGTTTCATCCCCAACGATGGAGACGCAGGCGCCCATTGCTGAAGAGTCTCGAACCAGGACGAAACATCTGTCCAGTGCATCCAATTGGTTTTCAACAATCTCTCCAACTGATGTTAATACGTGACGAAAATCTAGAAGTTGGCTTTCAGTGTCTAGAGCGTATAATTTTATTATGTAACTGTAAGGCCTAATGAAAAATTGCCGCCCTTGCTTAAATTAAGTTCTAATAATATTATGAAAAATGAGGAGGAAGCAAAGAACATCCTGGATAAGTTTAACAAGGTTCATCCTGCAATAAATTTTGCTACTGAGAAAGAAAAAGACTGTAGGATTTCATTTCTAGACGTCCTTATGACCAGAAAAGAGGATGGCGCGATAAGAAGAAGTGTAGATAAAAAACCTACATCAATGGGCCAGTATGCACATTTTCTCAGCTTCGCGCCCTTGAAATTCAAACACAATCTGAAAAAGTGCTTCGTTCACAGAGGAACAGCAATCTGTTTGGAGGAATGTCTTGATGAGGAACTCAATAATATTGAACGGTTGCTGAATGAAAATGGTTATCCAAAAAGTTTATTGATGAAAATATGAATCTAAAATCAAGGCAGCCCAAGGTACCAACTGTTCCAAAAAATACAGTCCCTCGGGGACAACATCAGAGAGATACTAACACAACACCTTAGGAATGATGCTGAATTACGCTGTGTCTTCAAAGCCACCCCTAATTTGCGTTCGGGAGTAAAAGACAAACTGCCTAATTTCGCCTCTTCCATGTGTATCTACCAATTTAACTGCTCCTGTGGAGCCAGTTACATGAGCCGTACAATTAGGCGGATTTCCTGTCAAATTTTTGAACAGCACCCTGCGTGGTGCTTAAGTGAAGGAGAAACAAAATCTATTCGTAGCGCTATTCTATCTCATCTTGTGGATATAGAACACAAGATTGATGTTAATCAGGCTTTCAGGGTCATTTACCGCATACCGACAAATCCTTAAGAGTTCATCTACTACATATTGCTGAGGTCATTTGGATCCACATTAAGAGGTTTAACTAATATGTCCAAAAGATGCTGGTTCAAACACTGTCCTTACTCTGGCCATCTAGGTTCTAACGATCCTCAATTTTTTGTAGAAATTTCCTTAATTTTAGTTGATATTCTATTTTCTATTATATCTTTATTATTATAATAATTTAAGCATCTTTAATGAACTATAATTCCGTCGTGATCTTACTTAACAAATTGATATCATTCTAAAAAAAAACAATATTGTTAATGATGGTTATTCTAAAATATTCTATGTATATAAACATGCATATATAATTGTAGAGCCAGAAGAGGAGGAAATTATCGAAAAGGATATTCTTTGCTCAATTTGATTTTATCCTTTCTTTCAGATGATAAGTTGACCATCCCCGCCAAATCTGCCAATGGTAATCACCATCTATTTAAACGTATATTCACGGATCGACCGTAAGTCAAGCAGTCTGCGTGTATGAGTGTTTGTGGTGTCTGAGTGTCATTAAATCAGGCGGACCTGTCCTGTAAACATTTCTCTCATTTTTACCTGCTTATTTTCGTTTTGAGAATATCTCATTTGAATTATGGGGGGAGGACTAGTATCAGTTATACAGTTAGTTGTCTTATGTGTTGAAATTGAATTGCTTTCTCTCTCCCTCTCTCTCCTGTTATCACTCACTATTCAGGCATGAGAAAGGTTGGCGAAGTATTGCCCTACTTCCTAGTCCAAGTCTTACAGATGTGTAAGTAGCACCTAGTACATGTAGATACAGGGACGCACACACACACATATGAATATATATGTAAGCACTCACGCTGACGCATAACTATCTACACAACTTTTATTTCTTTGACCGTTTATTGTATATACAAATCCACAGAATCTAGTGTATTACTTGTTTTTGATTTTCCCGAAACGTTTGGTCTCTGTTGACTACACGCTCGGCCGTATCTAGTAGGGACGCTTCAAAGACGTCTGGAGGTTAACTTGAAGTAATTTGATGAATAGTGACTAGCAGCGACTGGAATCCAAGGCGTAAGCATTTTCTCCTATTTGGGACTCATATCTGCATTCCTCACTGAATGATGTTATCCCCACTGAGGCTACGACAGTCATCTTTTTTGTAATTGACGTCATTGACTATCTGTTTTCCAGTTGACTCACTGGTCTCTCTTAGTGGGGACATCGCCATTCACTGGGGAATGCAGCCACATCCAGCAGCTGAAGAGTTCCAAGTAGGACGAAATGTACATGCTCTTGGTTCTATTGCTAGTCACCATCTAGTAAATTACTTCAGACTTCATAATATTTTGATGTTTTGACATGGTTATATTCAGTGTAATGATGAATGGTGTTCACTATTGTTGTTGTTCTTTTTCTCACCTACATGTATATCTATTTCACTTTCATATATATTGGGATAATCTTACATATATATCTGCACCAAATGCACTGGTAGTATTTTTAATTACGATATTGATCAGTGTTGATTTCATCATCATAATTATTATCGATTTTTGGTTAGCCTAACTGTAATCATATGGCTATGCAATTCAGTTTTAATTCTACTCAATGGCTTTATTCATTCTTGAGATATTATTTGTACATAATGTCATTTTTAAGTATTTCAAGGACCTAGTTCTCATGATTAGTTTGAACAAGGAGAGAATGAACTCTTTCTATTTTGTGGGTTTTTTATTGAAAGTTCATAAAGAGTAGTTTTTTTTGAGTACGCTAAGCGTTGGTGGCTTTTGTGGTCTAGATTCATAGATTTCGCAATAAATCGTTCTGGATAACACTTCTCGACGAGGATTCTCTTGAGATTGTCCAGTTCTTCTTCTATAGTATCCGGGATGCAGATTCTGTGAACTCTGTGACTGAGTGAACGGATCAAGTTTTGTTTGGTGTATAGAGGTATCCTACTGTGAAAATTAGTAAGCTGTCTGTTCCACATCGACTTTCTGTAGATAGATCTTTTCAGTGTTCCGTCTTGTTCTCGTCTTGTTAGCTGAACATCAAGAAAGAATATTTTGGAGTAAGACTCTTTCTCTAAAGTGAACTGAATCGCGGGGTGGCAGTTGTTGAACAACTTCAAGATGTCGTCTAGATTTTCTTCATTGTTGACGACAATGAAGATATCGTCGACGTATCTCTTGTAGAATTCGAAGGTATTGATCATTTTCTTCATGCATGTGTTTTATCGAGTTTTGCCATGAAGAAATCTGCAAGCAATGGGCCTAGTGGTGAGCCCATTACTATACCATCCTTTTGGTGATGCATTTTTTTATATTTTTGATTACAGCTTGATGCCACACCGTAATTTCAGTACAAGTATGACATTTTCAGCATGGATATCGGTAGCCCAAATTTCGCAGGCCGACCATAGATATCGGGTGTGCGTCGGCAGGGGATCGAACCCCGGACCATGTGCATGTTAGGCGAGAGTCCTAACCACTGTGCTACCGACGCACAAGCGCTCCCGCGCCGGAAATCGAACCCGGGCCGCCTGGGTGAAAGCCAGGAATCCTAACCACATATTTATTCATCTGCCTACATCCTAAACTACACTGAAATAGAAGTTTCATACAAGAATCCCCTTTTATAAATCTGATCACAGAGAGAACAGACATTGATGCAGAATAACATGGATCCAGTTTATGTTTCGTTGATTCGTTGAATAGAAGTCAGTGTGAAATCTTCAACAAACTTTTGTCGTGAACAAGCATATTATAAGAGTGTCATGGTGAAGTGAAACATCAGAATAACAAGGTAGCTGAAGTGTAAGTATATATATATACCTTGTTAGAGCTAGGTTATTTTAGAAAATTAATTCACAAGTTTGTTGCTAGGGCGATAACAAAAAATTAGTAACAGTTAAATAAATTAAAAGTCAATCTGAACGAAGAATATTCCTTTCAATACATCCTTCTCTTCAGGTTCTTACAGTTATAAAATATAAGATATAACATTTATTGTCGTTACAGTAATGGCCAGTTATGCGGCGCATACATTTTTAACGTAGAATAACAGATTAGCAGTTATGGGGTGTCAAAATAAATAGTCATATTTGAGTGTGACAAAAGTGCTGGGCTGAAATCGATTACAAAATATTGTAAAATGGGAGACAATGGTGGTGATTAGTTGTCATAATAGATTTGTAGAATGTAGGGTAGAAAAAACTGACAAGTCAGTTCAAGGTTATAAAAGGTATCAGGTACGTGGAGTGGCTAGTGCAGAGTGGTATATTTTAAACAGGAGATAGTAAGACTGCAATAGGAAGTTCGGTTCATCATGAAATAAACAATGTGTGAAATGAAACAGGTGGAGACTACTTGAAGAAGTATCCTGCCTTTCCGATTCTGGCTGGCTGGTTTTGACATCTTCATCCATTCCGCCTGTGAAATGCTTCAAGTTCCTATCTGTTTATTGTATGGTCGATAGCGTCACTGCTACTTTTTTCCTCTTATTGTGACCTTTTACGCTTCTTTCACCTGCTGTAGCCTAAATCATCAACTGACATCTAAAGAACCACTAAAAACCAAGGGGTAATAGACAGCTGTTTCGTCCTACCTTGCGACTCTTCACCAGCCCGAAAGCACCACTGACTGACCATTCAGCCAATTGGACGGAACCTAGTGGTTATCCTATGAGTTTGCACTTCTGTCAACTCGCTATGTACGACATCACCGAGAGTAATAACCCTCACATCGTACTTGGTGGATGTACTTGTGAATACCTCTCATGAGAACTCCCGACAACCTCCTCCTGTAGTCAGTCATTTTTCAGCTTGAAACCATCATTAGCAATCTTGAAAGGTTGCATCAGTGCACGATACGATATACCACTGGTGGATTCGCACAAGTAGTTGGATATCACTCACATCAATCAATAGTACTTGTTAATCACGCCATTTCGCTCGTTTGGAGTTGAACTCATCAGCGGTGTGTACCCATCTGAACTCAGCTCAAAGACTCAAATCAGTTTAAACCAATCGACGTGGTAGTAATAATAATAATACACGGAAACAAATTTGCCATTTGCCCCTAAATAGCTAACCAGATTTCTGATAAGTTGATGAGCACAACTCTAAACATGCTAAACTGCCATCCGATGTTTGTATCAATACGATGTTCGAGTAAGCAAACAATGCTGTGAGTTAATGCGAGTGGTATTCAACTGCTAGTACCAGTCAATCAGTAGTATATAGTAAGAAAGGCGACATCACTCGAAATCCAACTGTTAATCATTAAATTAAACAAATAATTCAATATTTCAATTTCAATTATATATATTCAATCCGGAAGTGGGTAATTTAAAACACGCGGTACTGGTTAATGATAATGATGATAATGATTTGATTTTTATTCTTAATTAATGTTAATGTTTACTTTTATTGTCTAATTGTTACACAGATAATTAACTTTACTCGTTTAAAACTAAAACAGAAGTCCACCTTTATGTTGTTGTTGTTCCTATCCTCCTCCCTTCCTCCTCAACTTCATTCTATATGTTCATGTCACACGAACGTCCTCACACACACGCACACACTTAGTGTAGGTTGGGGGGAAGCCTTATGTTAACCTAGGTTTCGCACTTGTTGGCACTCACCAGTCAGTAAGGCGTATCTACAATCTTGAAGGAACTCATGTCCCTTCTGAGATTCGAACCCCTAGATCAGCCATAGCAGTAGTCAGCGACGTTAAAACAGGGCTTTTCTGGCCCTCGACTGATATCTTGTAGGATTATATTGGATATTTTGATAGTACACTAAGTAGTAACCAATGTAACGTGTCGTCTAATCTTCCCTGGGTTGGTGCAGACTGAATTCTGTCAGTCAGCCAACCATCTGATACTAGCAATTGAGGGAGCACCGTGGTAATAAGCCACCTAGCATGATTGTCATATTGCTAACTTGACTGACAGAATTCTGTCTGTACCACATGAAGGACTAAATGCGTTAAATTACTGTCCAATCAAACTGCACTTCTCTCTATTTTATACTGTTTAAATATTTTGAAGTAGAAACGCAGATGTCTAAATAATAACACTTTCATCAATTATGTTTTCGTTCTTGTGGAATTACTGAACAAGTCCTTTACATTTGGATTGAATACCCATATGTTTAAAGCGCCAAAAGACTATTTAAGCGGTTTTATAATGTTTGCTGGCATCGCTGGTCCGATGATAGAATGCTAGTCAACCACTCACAAGGTCTGGTGTTCGATTCCTGACCGACACATTCCTTAAACTTCGTTAGCCGGTAGCCAGCAAAGAAGGAAGTTTGGGCGTGACGCCAGCGACTCTACTGCTACTAAAAATTCAGAGTCCAGAACTTGAAGTCTTATGTTCCACTGTTAACGCAAAGCAATAAAAAAGAGTAATAGTAGTCAATATTTATCAGATATTATTTTTGTGATCTAGCGTGGGAGATCAGTCGAATTCCTGAGAACCA